GAAATAATTGAGCTAAAATTATTACTATTTCGGTCTAATGGGTGCTAATAATTAAGATATAATTATTTAGAAATATTTTTTCTTGATAAAATAAGGCAATAAAATATTTATATTACTTCTTTCTCTTAAAACTATCTTGCGATAAGAAAATTATACGAAAAAATTGGTTAAGCATGCATAGTTCTCCAAATTTTAGTATTTCCTTATTAAAAATACAAAAAAAAACTAAATATTAAACTTCCTTAGTCCTATCATAACCATTCATATTCATTCATTTCATCGCTTGCTTTTGTGTTCCAAATTTATTTTTATTTTATAATTATTTTGTTTACTTCAACTTTTCAGCCTGTTTTCTTCTATTATTTGCAATTTTTCAATTTATTATTAGCATGCGCGTGTTGCATGGAATTAATTCTATATTTAAAATTCAATTATTTATTCTGAGTATTGTGAAATATATTTAATTTATTATGGAAAGTAAGTTTCAGAATTAGTAAATATGAACAGTGTATAGATTTGTCCCTTGCGATATATACGTGTTTTCTTAATACTAAATGCCTATTTAATTTCATCAGACTGCTACAGCAGTGAGTGAGAAAGCTAAAGCGAAGACTCCGGCCAAACGGACGCCAGCTAAACAGAAAGTGGAAACGCCGGTCGCGACACCCACTCGCAAAGGCAGGAGAGCAGCCGGTAAAGGTAACGTTATGTAATATTTACTTGTTTGTAAACAATATATCTGTTTACTCAAGTCTTGTACCACTAATCCTCAAGAAGTTTAAGGTCATCGTCAGTAATCAACCTATTACATATACAGAGTGTAAAAAGACACTTAACGAAGCCGTTAACTATGCATACTGCAGTTATAACTAAGTAGCTTTACGCTGAAATTATCAAAAAAATAATAATTTTATTGCGCGCAATGTAAAGCAAACGGGCTTCTTTCGTGTCATTGTGTGCGTAGGTTCACAGCTTAGCATGAAAACGCTGTGATGTGTCGTGGTCAACGTTTTACTTCACAACAACAAAACAATTCTGTAAAATAAAAATCCTACTGAGATGCACGATGTTTTTTGTGCAAGTCTGCATTTATTTATTACCCATTACTGTTCGTAACTTCAAATGCGTAATTTATTTAGAAAAATCGAAAATTCTGGTAATGTTTGTTTGGAAAAAAGTTTTGTAATAAATACTTAGAATTCGATTGCGTAAAAAACGAAAATTAAAAATGCATCTTTGACCTTCAATATCTTGAGAACCCGTGGAGACCCAGCTATGGTCTTAAAGAAAAAAAATATCCAAAAAATGGGTAGAATACGTGGCTTTCGGCTTCGTTAAGTGTCTTTTTACACCCTGTATATGTTCTCTCGACGACGACTCGACGTTTTAATGGCATAATTTGTGATCCACAAATTGTATTGTCGGATCTAGGTGTGATGTGTATGTGAATTTGCATGTTTCTAAAGGCACCCACGACACAGGAGACAATCCTAGTGCTCAACGAAAAATTCCATAATATGGTATTTAACAAATTGATCTGAAACATTATAAAATAAATCTAGCTTTTATCGGGAAGTACAGACTAGCGTCGGCAAGATGATGAGAATCAGTTCTTTCAAATCTTTTAAACATAGTAGTTTCCTAGGTCACTAATATTAATTTTTGGGCAATTTCTAAATACAATGATTTTTCTAAACAATCGTCATAACATTATTAGCATTGCACAAAAAAAATATAAATATAAAAGTAAGTTTTTTTTTTGTTAGGGGAAAACCATCGAATGACTTTCTCCCGCCCAGGGTCGGGCGGTAGGGAGTGTCAGACTCTTACTGACTAAAAACCCCCCCCTCCTTCTGCTCTGGGTCGAAGCGGCGGTGACTCATTCTGTGCGCTATAGGAGGGGCCCATTAGTTCTGAGATAATTATGGATAAACATCAGAATTAGGCATTAAGTATCAGTGCACTAAATACATATGACTCTAACACCTTGTACAATTTATATTATCATCGATTACAGAAGCAAAAGCGTCGCCGATAGTGCCGACGCCGTCCACGTCGACGGGTAAGACCACCCGCACGCCGAGGAAACCGCCCGCGAAGAAATAATACTTGTGTACCACAGTCGTAAGCCGACAGTTCTATAATGAACGAACTCTATGACCAAGTACGTATGTTATGTACTGTTAAGTGTCTTAACGTAAATATTAGGTTTCCCGGGCCGATATTTGGAATTCGTCAAGGATTGAATAATGGATGGTCTGTTCTTATTTTGTTACGCTCGATTTGGAATTTGGTTAGTGGGTTAGTTGAACATTACGAGTTTTTATTTAATGTTCGTTATTATAACATTTTAATATTATATAACAGATGACTGGGTTGGCAGCGGAAAATCTACCAAACCCGTCTTTTTCTGTTAATAAGCTATGCTTAATGAACTAGGGAGGTGCAAAGGCAAATTATCAAGACAATTTTTGTCTCTTTTATTAAAGTATAAATAAAATAAATGTCAATTTAACAATGCATAAACTCAATTCATTTCCCAACTTCCATTTCCAGCGAGGATAAGTTGTATCTTTTATTAGATATATTTATTGTGGATCACTTCTGTCTGCATAATCATGGTTTATTGTAATTTTATATTTTGCTGGAATCTGGTACGATATTTACTTACTAAACATATTTCTTTATATTATGAAATGAAGTACATTGTTATAACAAATAGCACAATTTGTGTATTTTTGCTTTCAATACATCTATTGATAAGTTACTTGGTTATAAGATTTTAAATAAAGCGCAATGTTTTGGGTTCTGAAAGTTTTTTGGCAACGAAATTAATTTTATGTGGTCACACCGCGACGGTGTCCGTCATATTTGGCGGGAAATTGATGTTGAATGTTTTAAAATAGGAACATTTTATGTAAGAACCCAGTCTGTGTTGCCATGTTGGGTTATAATATATCTAACTTGTTTTATATGAAAACTTTCTAATGTTTGAAACCTGAAGCAATAATGGAATTTTGTGCGAACTTACACTACATGAATATGAACTCGCATATTACGGCGTTTTCGAATTGAAAAAATAATGAATGTTTTCATAGCAATATTTTGCTGATTTTGAGAGATTAGATATAGAATAATGTTCTACCTCGGAATTCGATATATTTAGGGCATTTTAAAAGAAAGGATTTTTATATTAATTCAAATTTTAGATGAATTATAAGAGTTGGTCGTGTAGTGTAAGATGGCGATAGAGTACTAGTGAAAGTTGACATCACATTGTATTGATATTCTACGGTATATTGTAAGGAGGGTGGAGAGCGAATTAACAGGTTAATATAGTTTTACTAACGCGAACTAACTACTAAATGTAAGAAACTTCATTCTCTGTAAATATTTACATTTAAGGAAATGTTAACAACGTCATTTCTAGGGATAGCTACATTTAATGTTCGCAGTATAAGTATTACAGTATTTTCAACTTATTATACTAAACTTTTAACACTGAAATAATTATTGATGGATATGTATTACACAATTTATTGTCGTTGTACAGTTTGTAGTAGCATAGTCAAGCAATAGATATTAAACGCTACACAATATCTCTCAGTAAAGCGAAAAGTCACTATTTTTAAAGGAAATGTAGTTACAAAATTAATATATGTGTTTCTTATTTGTCTGTTGTAATTTCTTCTTTTCTTTTAGATGCCAGAACAGATTTTATATATTTTTATACCACAATAAATTAAGTTATATTTCTTTTTTTTTTTATTAATGAACATCATGTTATGAATGTAACAGAAAGTTTACCATTGATTTTTAAGATACAGTGACTTTACACGTTACGAGAGAGATATTTTTTACAAACTACTAAACATAAAATATGACGATGCGTATAAATGTAGTGATCCCTAATCAAGTTGCGGTTGATAAGACGCGGAGGCAGTCCGCCTCGACAATTAGGCAATAGATTTAGAAGTTTCTTTTTATTAAATAAGATTAGGCTATAAATTCTAAAGTTTGCGTAGAATTGAATTAGGTATTGCGTCGAAAATCTTGTATATCAGTACAAAAGAATTTAAAATTTATCAAATAATGTTTTATCATTGGACGTTTTGCTTCACATAAAAATATATTTTGATATGATCAGTGTTTATTTTTGAATTAAGATGTAGAAAGTGTCCTGTCGCGGTTTGTGGGAACTGGGAACTAATCTGTCACATGTTTCGAACTCGTCGTGTAGAAGAAATTTGAAAAATGTCTTCGTCCTAGTTCTATTATTTACTGTTTGGACCAAGCTGTTCATTGTGAAATTGTGATTCAGATTGTAACATGTACAGTGGTTTACCAAATGTTAAAAATGTATCACTGCCTGTACAAGACGATCTAAAGTGTCTAGTAGATAAATGAAATATATTTAGCTCAGTCACAACAATTGTCATGTAGGTCGCTCGCTCGCTCGCTCAGTCGCTCGGCCGTGCAGCCCCAAGTAATTTTGTACTTAGCTTGCCGGAGACTAGCTCTCATCGACACGTTGACACGATAGTACACAGGTTGAAGACGATTCTACTTTTCGTTTGTAAGATTGTTTTATACATTAGCGGTGAGGTCCCCGTATATTTTTTGTTAAATTGTTTTCCATTTTACCCTTATGTTGTTATCAATAAACTGTGCTCGTCTAGAGCGTGAGAGTGTGTGTGAACATTAGGAAATCTTAAGTACCTAAATTTTAGGTGGTATTTTTAAATAGGTTAATTTCTTGAAGAGAAAAGAATAAGCTTAGAGTATAAATTATTGTGTGTGTATTTTCTGTTTATAACGTGTACCTACTTGAGTGGAACGAATGTTTGCGACATTGTCATGGCACTCTGGTACAATAGTTGTAAAACATAATTTTAGCGTTTTATACAAAAAAGATATCAGTTCGAGAGTACTATTGTAACAGAAAGTCCACAAATTTATATGCAATTTAAAATAAATATAATGATTTAAGAAAGCTGAGTGTTTTATTGCATTTACAATTATAAATTTAGACTGACTAGACTATGGATTAGATATCTTACATACAATTGGTGTCAAAATTAATAATTATTAAAACATTTAAATAGACCCGCATTTAGAATCATTTAAATACACAGTTTAAGTACAAGAAAATAAAACAAAAGATACATAATCAATACAACATTTTATTTAATCTTCTACTTCTTCCATTGGATATTCAGTCATAATTAATCCTCTACTCCACAGCGCATCAGCTAAACTAAGCTTCTCAGGTTCAGAAGGCAAGTCTAGACTTTCCACAGTAATATATTCTGGATATGCAGTTATCAACATTTCTATTGCTGGAGCCATTTCATCTTCAATTTCAATGTAAAGCAAGTCATTTCCATGGTATTCTAAAGAATTTTCAACATAATAGTACACTCTGATTTTATCTTCCGATACCATTCTAATAATATTCTTACGTAGCAACCTTATCTTTGTGTCAGGACTAATTTCCACTCTCCTTGTCACAACACCATTCTCTACCATCATATCAGAATCTCCAAATACCGTTACTGATGTTTCTTGGTCACTCAGCACAGGTGGTAATGCAGCATGCAGGTACTTCTTATGCATCTGATCTACTGCATCATCAATTGGCAAGCATTTCTTAACTTTGTCAAAAATGCTCATTATCAATTTAGTTATTTCTTGTCTCCGAGGTGTTTTTGAATCAGAATGGACTAGACCAAAGTGATCATAGATGTCAAAAGGAAGACCTCTTCTCAGGTCAACATTTTCACTTATCGCCATCTGTAGTGCAGCTGGCATTATCAACTCCATCAAATCTCCCCAAGAATGTTTCTGATACATACTGATTGTAACATGGAGAGAATGTTCACCATCTATTGTGACCCCCTGGTGGATGTATCCACGGGGGAAGTACAGCATGTCACCTGCTTCTAATGTTACTTCCATTATTGGTTCACCTATTTCTTCTTGATCATAATTTTTGGAAGAAACACGAGGAAGTACTTCGTTTTCATTTAATGGTTTGTAAATTTTCCAATGTTTCTTACCTTCTGTTTGTAATATGAATGCTTCTATATCATCATAATGTGGTGCGAACCCTTGGCTATCAGGTGGTGTAAGGTAGGCATTGGCTCCAACAAAGGAATTGAAGAATTCCTGCATAGTTGCATTAATCAAATGTAATTTTGGGATATAAGTTTGTGGGTTCAGTAATCTAACACTACATCCATTTAGGTAGAAGTCCCACACTATATGTGGGTGAGCCCTTCCGTCTGGATTGTGTGTCTCTCTTTTACCATCAACATATGAAGTAATATCTATATTTTTAGTAAACTGTATGTTTTCATTGCGCAGCATGTCATCAATAGCTGGTGTGGTCAATATGTCTTTGTAGTAATTGGATTTTCCTCTGGCTATATGTAATGGCTTTTTCTCCCAAATATTGTTGAAAAATTCATCAGTGTCGTAGGGTGCAATCATCCACTGGAATACTTTGAGTCCTTCTTCCACACTGTCTGTCTGTACAGGTGTAAATTCTTCACCTTCACATTCACAGTCACGTGAATCATCAACCACATCACCTGAGGTATTTTCTTCAGGTTTAGATTTTACATCAGAGACTGGCCTCATAAGAAGTAAGGGCGGTTCATCATCCTGGTCACTTGGAGCACTGCTTTGGCTCAATACGTCTTTCTTTACTTTAGAGATTTGTTTTTTATCATCTCCGAATTTTGATTTCTTCTTCTTATGCAGTTTCTTTTTTGTGATGTTTTTAAGCTCTTTGGATTTCTTGTGCTTCTTTTTAAGCTTTTGTGCGAGCTCAATCTGGCTTTTCTCATTAGTTAAATGTGGTGGCAATGGTTTTGGAGAAATTGGTTGCACTTGCGTCCCGGATTTGTTTCTTTTCTTTTGTTTCTTTGCTTTATTTGAAGAAGTATTCGCTTTATACATAGCAAAGGCAGATACTGGAGAATCCATTTTTTGATTTTTAATTATAAATAAATAATATTAAGGTAATCGCACACGTGATGGTAAAAGTTCAGCAACAGGTTTATAAGATAAAAGTTTCAGGAACCTATTCTATCTAAAAGTACACAGCAGTTCAATTAAAAAAAACACTGGTTAGGTTCACACAATCCGGTAAGTCAGTTTAACACCATCTTTAAGAACATAACATAACTATAATATGATAGGCCGGCCTGCACGTAATGTCAATGTATGGAATATTTATAGGTTATGTTATTGACGTTTTGAATAGCACTTCAACGTTTCATATCACGCTACCTATAATTTTGTAGGCTCATAAAAAAACGCTGTAATTAGATGGTTGAGGAATGCACAAAAGACAGAAGAAAGTGTAGACCGGGGATAACTTTTAAACCCAGGTAATTAGTTTTCCAAATTCTGCTAACCCTCTAGACTTGAGGGAGTTACCTTAGCAGCTAGGGTCACTTCTTTGGACACCCTTCCTATACCTATCAGCAAAAGTGCCTATGTGGCATGCAGATGTTAAAGTTACACAAGGAGTTACGATAATTTCGTTGATTTTTAGGATATCTCGCCTTGGACCTATGTATTGGAAGCAAAAAGCTACTGAATATTCGAATCTCCTAATAAAAAAAAAAATATACTTAGGTGGCGTAAATGTGTAACTTTTACACCCCATACAAAGCCAATATATATAAAATTTATATAAAGATTTGGGACCAGGTTGCGATGTCCTTGCTTGAAGGAACTTTATTTTTTATTTTACTTGAGATTAATTAATAACCCGGCGGAGGTTCCCGGGTTCGAGATCTAGCAAGTATCAACGTGACTTTTTCCGAGTTATTCTTTACTTGATTATTACTTAATTCCTTTGGTTATTTAGACCCCGACATACGGTGAAGGAAAACATCGTGAGGAAAACTGGACTTATAATTTCTAAGTTTGAAATCGCCAATCCGTTTTCATCAAGCGTGTTGTTTTTTACCCGACTGCCAAAGAAGGAGGGTAATGTTTTTCGAGTGTATGTAAGTATGTATGTATGTCTGTTCCTTTGTGACCTCCTGTAGCCTAAACGGCTTGATGGATTTTGATGTATGAGGTATCGTTAGATTTGTCTTGATTACGGGAGTGTCATAGGATACATTTTATCCTAAAAGTCCCACGGGATAAAGACATAATAATATTTTTTCTAAATTTCCCTTTAAAAAAATATGTATGCGGTATCATTAGATTCATTTCAATCACGGGAGTAATTAATATAGGATACGTTTTTTCTCAAAATTCCCACGGGAACATGTTAATTCTGCGTCAACGCAAAGCAACTCATGCGTTAGCAAGCAAAAAGATAGGGCGTGGCCTGGCATGCGGCGCGCGGCGCGGTGCGGAGGGGGATATGCTCGAGTATACAGCCCGAATGTACATAGTTTTCTACATCTACAACATTTTCGTTAAATAAAAACAGCTAAAAAGTTATAAATAAAAAAAATATTATTAAAAAAACAAAATACCCGACTGCACACTAAAAAAAGAGTAAAACAAGCCCCACAATACAAATTTACTGAATATAATTTATAAATGTTGATGGAAAGCATCGCAGGCGGGGACCACCTTGACCGCCACCAACGAAAATTATGCTAAATGGTGCACAACAGAAATGACTATAAATAAGCCTCTGTTGGTCCCCGCCTGCGATGCTTTCCATCAACATTTATAAATTATATTCAGTAAATTTGTATTGTGGGGCTTGTTTTACTCTTTTTTTAGTGTGCAGTCGGGTATTTTGTTTTTTTAATAATATTTTTTTTATTTTATATAATATTTCGGCAAACAAGCAGGCGAATTACCTGATGGTAAGCAATCAGCGCCGCCCATGGACACTCGCAACGGAAGAGTTACGAGTGCGTTGCCGGCCTTTTAGGAAGTAGGGATTTGGAGATTTACGGAATTGAGGAGGGATTGGTAGAGGGGAAGGATTGGCCTCCGGTAACCTCACTCACACGGCGAAACACAACGCTGTGGGTATTTCACGCCGGTTTTCTGTGAGGCCGGTGTATCACTCCGGTCGAGCCGACCCATTCATGCCGAAGCATGGCTCTCCCATACTTAAAAATGATTTTACCTTTGATTAATGCTTAAACCTTCTCCTTTGCTCAGCAGTAAGCACTTATATGCTGATTATGTGATGTGATGTGATTTTACTTGAACTTAGATATAAAATTCTGACCATTTTATGCATCATTGGTATTCCATGAAAGACAAACTACCTATGAAATCTCGACCCTCGATGTCGGGAAACATTTTCAGGGCCATTTTGATATGACCAAGGTCTATTTTGACCATTCAACTTTCTGATTCAGTATTTCTTTCTGTGGTGTCCACGAACGTTAATTATTACTGATGTTAATTTAATCAGGGAAAGAAGGAACATTTTTTGGAAATTTGGTTATTGCATAATAAAATATGAAGTTATTCATAAGAATTCTTCCCATAGGTATTTCTAGGGCACAGGACTGTTGTAATTCATTTTACAGGGTCGCTTCCAGGAAAGGGCGAAATGTTAATGGTTGTTTCGGATCTGTGTGATGATAAAAATCAAACAATAATATGACTTTTTCCAAGCAGATTTATTTACGAATTGATACAGTTGTGTTCTATAATGCGGATATCCATTGAAGGCATGTTGTGTTTATTTCTACGCACTACTCTCTATTTCCTATGATCTGATACAGTTTTTATGAAGTTTTACGAACACAGAGTACCATAACATGCTTAGTTTTACAGTTACTTAGTTACATAGTATTCTAACAATCAATATATTCTGTTTGATATTTTGTATAATATTAGATAGTATATATTTTCTAAGTGATGTAGTGCTAAAGGCTCCCTGTAAATAATTACCTTAAAAATAAAAATTTTAAATGATGATTTAGAATTTCGTACGCGGGAGAAATAAAGGTAATCAGTGAACTATTTGGAGTAGCAAAATAATTTAGTATGACCTATTATATTGGTACATAACTATTTTTATATTTTATTCTTTCATAAGTTTGATTATATTGTCATTGATTGCAATTCGATTCAAAAATTTAAAAGTAACTTTAAAAAAGATAAAGCAACTAAACTCAAATTATAAAATTGAGAAAAAAATGTCACAGCCACACAGTTTATTCGAAGTAAAAAAAGTATAAAAGTGTGGACTAGTAATAGCAATGAAACATTTTTCTATGTTGCAACATTCACTAAACTAGAATATTTAATACACAAATCTAAACACTTATAATTTTGAATATTGATATTATAATAATAATAATTAAATTTTTGCACTACCATCCTAGATAATAAATTTATTTATTTTTCTGAGAACATTTTATGTTGAGAGTTAATATAGATTGATTTTTTTAATATCATATATTAATAATATAAATATTTTATATTTTAAATCCAATGAATCTACTAAGTTATTGGTCATCTATCACACATAATTGATACGTCAAATTTTATATATCTATGCATATTTATATTTGTATAAGTAGCATAGTATGATTAGCACGTGTAATGACGATAAGTATTTTAATCTTTTTTGAAAGGGACAATAGAGAATTTTTACATTAGTTGATCCTTCTTTCTAAAACTCAAAGGTACGATGAAGGTTGTCGTTATTTTTTTGATATGGCAAGGATAATTTAAGTTACTGAACCGATACGTTCAAAAAGTTTGTGATATGCCGTCGATTTTTTATATTTTGAAAATAGATATATAATGGATTAGAAAAATTCTTATAATTTAGGATTTTAAAACGTATACATATAGAAGGACATGTTGTTAGTCAGTCTGTTTAGATACTACATTGTTTACGTCATCGATTGTGTTGTTACAGTTCGCAAGGTATGTTCGCAATTTTTGTAAGTACAAAACTCTTAAAAATGAATTAGAAAAGTTTGAAAATTTGAAAAACCTCTCAGTCTTATTATCGCAGCTTTTACCAGCAGACATTATGTAACATTCTCTTTTTAAAGACTAAAAAAAAATAACACACGTATTTTAGGACGGTAGTCGACGCAGGGATCGAAATAAGATAGCTAGGTAATAGTTACACCAATTGAAAATTCTGACAATCAACTTAACAATAAACATTAAACAACGAACTTATAATTAACTTAATTACAGTAAATATAACTACTTAACTACTACCGCGCCTGTTCATCATATTTTTTAATTTTCATTCCATCTTCGAGGAATTTTGACATGACATGAGCAAACGTCAAATAGTAACGCTGGCTGCCATTTTTCGGACCAGCGACAATGTAGAACGACCGTCAACGTTCGAATTAGTTTTTTTCTTTAAATTATAAGAAGATTGGGGAGGATTGTTTTTGTTCGTTCCACATTGTTCCATCCAACAGCACCAACTAGCCAACGAGATGACCGAGATTTTGGGAAGCAGTTTTTGTTTAGTGTACTCGTATGTCGCGGGCGTGCACGGGCGTGGTATCCTCGGGACTGGGGCTGTCGTCGAGGTGTGGTCGGATGTGTACCACGGAGCGTCGCTGGTCGTGGTGGTTATAGTCATCCCGCATCACCAGCCCTCCAATCCCGTACCCGGGTCCCATCACTCCGGAGCCGCTAAGCCTCATCTTCTCTGGGTCATCGTCGAGCTTCACGGATGAGAACACCGTACTCAAGTTCAGTTGTGGAATGTCGTAGAAGACCGTCAGTGTCAGCATCAGGAATGTCAGGCCAATGAGCAAGTAGACTGAAAGAATAAATTTATATAAAAAAATCGTATTAGTTTTGATTTAGGTTATTCTAGTGATCGTAAATTACTTTGGAGGCTAAACGCATTTAAATTAATTAAAAACAATTGTCTATTGAAATCTGGAGCGTGCGCTATCTAGGTACATAATCCATGTAAGTATTGTACACATATCAATAAAACGTTTACAATAACGACGTTGCTCCAATTGAAGTATTGTATTAATTTTGCGCTCATCCTTCGCATGTACCTACTACTTCTTCTTCTTTTTGTTTATGGCTCCTTCGTAAACATGTACCACTTTAAGAAGTTACGTAGGGAAATGTCCCGGTATGTTGTTCGCATTGAACAACATAAAGGTCACGAATAAAAATGTTGCCAATCTAAAAAAACAACTTACAAGTGGTAGCAACTTTGTAGAGAGGTCGGTAGGGTTGTCCGGGGGAGTCGCCAGGGATGTAGTCGCCCAGTCCGATGGTAGTGAGAGAGATGAAGCAGTAGTAGAACGAGTCTAGGAAGTCCCAGTCAGGCTCGACGTAAGCAAACACGCACGCTGGCACCACCAGGAAGAATACCACGAGAGTTGTCACTGTGAAAAAAATAGATAAAAATTAGCTTATGTTGTTTATTTATCAATGATAGCTACTCTTCCGCGGTTTCACCCGCTGCTCGGCTCCATTTAATCATAGCGTGACGTTTTATAGCCTATGGCACTCAGGAACATTGTAGCTATCTATCAGTGAAAGAATTTTGGAAATCCGACCAGCGGTTCCAAAGATTACCCCCTATATACAAACTTACAAATTTTACCTCTTTATAATATTAGTATAGAAAAACAGGAAATTCCTCAGTATACTCTTAATGATTTTGGTCTTAATAGTTTTCCAATTCTAATTATGTGGTAATTTTCAATTTACATTCTTAATAACAGAAACTTACCAATTATCATGAGATGCACTAAACGTATGGTGAAGGGCCGGTACAGATGTCCCAGTGCAGCGTTCAGAGAGCGTAGTAGGGCAGTGGCTGGTAGAAGCAGACGCTCCACCAGTGCTGAGAGCAACACCAACGTCAGGGGTATACCGAGCAGCGCGTACATCATGCAGAACAGCTTGCCTGGCTTCGAGAGTGGCGTCACGTGACCATATCCTGGAAAACAGGAGAGGAATGTTTAGAAATGTGGGCCCTTGTAATTTCTTGCCCCCTTCTTACATTCTTTAATGAGCTGTTTTGATAAATTGCACAGGGGCTCAACCATTAGATTGGCTTCAGTCAATAGACCACCACAGACGGGCCCTAATAAGGCTGATGTTCAGTCGGGATTGTGGGGCAAGCGCAATAATACACCGCGGCCTCGACCTAGCCCAGGAGAAGGAACGGGGGGTTTTTTTAGACAGTAATAGTCTCTCTCTTGCCTCACACAGGGCGAGAGAGGCTTCAACCGTGGTCAAATGAATTCTTTCTCCTTTGAGAAACATCCTTGATTTATTTTGTTACTCTAATTTTGTCGTACATCATCACTCTCAAGGATCCTGCCAATCTTATTATCTTAATAGGGCTATTTATAGAGACACTTACCGATGGTAGTGACAACAGTAGATGAGAAGAACAATGACTGTCCGAAGCTCCAGTTAGGTCCACCCGTGATGTTCCTTGAAGCTGAGACACCGCGGTTGCTGGCGCGCACCACTTCATCCAACAGCAGTTCCAGGTCATCGTCTGTGGGAGATAAAAGAGGACTTCTAAATAAAATTCATATATATACCATTTCCAGATAGGGCGTTAAATGAGCTGATGGATAACCTGATGGTAAGCAACTATGCCATTGTCAGGTACAGCAATTAAATCGCTTTAGACGTTTTGGGGGTTGTTAGCAATTTGAAGATTTAGGCCCTCTGTAATATCACTTACACGGCAAAACACAAAGTTAGTAGTTACAGTTATTTCACGTTTGTTTTCAAAGTGTGGGAAAGCCAAGCTTCCAGCAGCACGAATGGTTCGGCTCGACTGGAGTGATACCACGGCTTCACAGAAAACCGGCGTGAAACAATCACAGGGTTGTGTTTCGCCGTGTGAATGGGGTTACCGGAGGCCCAATACTTCCTCTTTCCCAATTCCTCCCCAGTCCCTAAATCTCCAAATCCCTAATCCCTAAAAGGTCGGCAATGCACTCGTAACTCCTCCGTTGCGGGTGTCCATGGACGGCGCTGATTGCTTACCATCAGGTAAACCGTCTGCTCCTTTGCCGACATATTAAATAAAAAAAGTCATACTCCGGACGAGACAACTCCCACATTCAGCACGCGCTTCTTGCTAGAAGAGCTTCTTAACAATAACAAGAGTGTTTTAAGCAAAGATACTATACACATTTTCCGCTAGTTACTGTAAGTATAATATTAACAGAAGCTAAAACAAACATTACACGCAATTGAACTCGAAAATTGGTAAATATCTATAGGCAAAAAAACTTGTTCCGATAGGGACTGACCCACAATTTTTTCTCAACTAAACCTTTACAATAATAATTACTACATAGTATAAAACAATGTCGCTATCTCTGTACCCATCTGTAAACTACGCAACGGATTTTAATGCGATTTTTTCTAATAAATATAGAAATTAGTGATTGAAGAAGAATAATAACTATCGTGAGACATACTAAATTAACTAAAATTCGCGGGTTACTCACGAACTTACTTACTCACGGACGCGGCGACGTCGCGCGACGTCGCCGCGTCCGCGCACGCTGCTCATGAGGAAGAACCCCTCTGTGGTTCGAAACTAGTAGAGCTTTTCTCAACATTTACACGTGAGTAACCCGCGAATTTTAGTTAATTGAAGAAGAATGTTTATATGTCTAAAAAGTCCATTATATAGTGAAGAAATTTAACATCAGATTTGCACGCGTATGAAGCCGGGGCAGGTCGCTACTAATAAATAACATCGACAGTAAAATTACAGATTCCACCCACTCAGTAATTAATTCTAATCTATTTTGGTTGCAATACAATCATTCAAATCACCAATCAGTAAAATTTGTGGCACAAAATACATTACGTAATTATCAGACATTAATTAACTGATACATGAATATTTAGATACTAAATGTTTGATCATATCAAAGATATTGTGCTAGGAAAATAGGGCAATCTATCTGAAGCGATATGACAACTGACAAGTACTTAGCTTAGGTATTCAAATGTTAAACATGACAGATCTTATTGCGTTCATTTCATCCAAACCCCAAGCGAACACCGGCGTTCGTGCAGTGCGAATCTTCTTCTATTGGGTCTGAAATTACCACGATGGAAAGGTTAAGTGTGGGAGAGCCATGTTTCGGCACGAATGATACCACGGTTTTATAGAAAACCGGCATGAAACAACCACATTGTTATATTTCGCCGTGTAAGTGACGTTACCGGAGGCTCAATCCTTCCCACCCCTAATACCTAATCCCCAAATGTCGGCAACGTTTGTACTCGTTATTCCTCTGTTGTTGCGTGTGTAGGTATATGATCGGCGTTGATTGCTTACCATCAGGTAATCCTTTAGGTAGTTTGTAGTCCTAACACATAAAAAAACTTAATTGTGTTTACCCTGTCACTAAAATAAAAAATGTACTTTTTAGATGACTTTACCAACTTTAATAAGCCATTTGTAATTTACCGTAATTAACTAAGTATTAGTTAAGCTAGTAATTTCTAATGCACGCTCAAATAATTAGAAAAACTTTAATAATTGCTTTTAGTTTTAATTCGACTCAAAAAATTTAAGTTCTTCGAAGTTTTTTAGGTTTAAATCAGAATAATTTGACTATCTATTAAATTGTTTTAGATCTAGAATGACTTGAAATATATAGGCACAGAAACTTTAATTATAAACTCCATTAGCGATCATGATATAGGAATATAATTTTCAATTAAAGCAAAACAAAGACAAAAGGTTGGCAACCCTTCACCGTTCCACAATTCAAATTAAAGCGGCCCATTAATCACAATTACGCGTGTTCAAATCGCTGACACGTTTCATGTACAGCAATCATTATGTGAAAGTATTCACGTTTAATTATCTCTTGAATAATTAACAATACGTGTACCAAAATACTAAATAAAGCATCTTTTGAACAATGTCCGCAATTTCGTAGCACTTTGTGGTTGGTACATTTTCCCGCCATTTGCGGGGAATGAGTATTACGCTGTGTGTACATGCATTATTCATTCCAACCGGGTCCGGTGCCGACCGTCGAGACCTTTCTTTGATGAAAATTAAACCTTCTAGTAATTACTAGTTTTTATATTGTTACTGCTTACAAAAAAACGAAAGTAAAACTGTTCTTTTTTATGAGATAGATTGGCAGACGAGCAGACAGATTACCTGGTAAGCAATCGGTTTCACCCATGGATACTCGCAAGACTAAAGGAGTAACGAGTGCGTTGCCGGCCTTTTGGGGATGAGGTTTTGGATATTTAAAGATTGGGCCTCAGGTAACCTCGCTCACATGGTGAAACACAACGCTGTGGGTGTTTCACGCCGGTTTTTTGTGAGGCCGTGGTAGTAGGTAGTTCGGTCGATCCGACCCATTCGTGCCGAAGCTTGACTCTCTTACACTGTTTTTGCTGTTATTTTCCTATACAACTTTTGAATAACACTATTTTTGTTACGGCAAAATCTATGTTGATGACATATTATTGTTGATTATACCCTTTGTTAGATTTCCGGGCTCCTGACTATGCGGATCGTCACAGAATTTATACATCCTGGTCCCATCTAGTGGTGGGTTATTGTGTCTTCTGAAGCGTAGAATCATTGTATACTTATCAAAATATCGAATAATCCATCTAGGTAGTATTATCTAATACTAAGAAACAGAAACGAACTTAATATTGAGTTTAGATACGTTGTTATACTTTATTAACAAACTTTACGTACGTACTATCTATTTCTTGAACCCAAATTCCGATAAGAAGGAGTCGGTATGTTAAAATGCATTTACCTCCGCTCATTTTATTAAGAAACGCTAATGGAGCGCTTCGGATCTTTCAAGAAAATTCATATGAAAATTTCGAAACAAAAATTTCTAATTGTGACAATATGAGAAGCATTTTTGACCGTGCACGGCAAAACACAAAATGGTTGTGTAGGTGTTTTTGTGGTTTCACAGAAAACCCGTCTAATTTTAAACGCGCTAAGTAATGTCACTGTACTAATTAACTGTATAAGTGTCTTAGTAACAGCGTGTAGCTTACAAAAACCACATTTACTTTTAGCTACAAACAGAATACGCGATTCTTCGTTCAAAGGCGTCTAATTAAAAGTTACATAGGAGCCAAACTCGCCCGGGTAATGGCCGGCTTTAGGGGCAGTAGGTAGTCACTGGTATTATACCATTAAGAGGCTTATTTCCCGTTGGCCAAACACCTCATGGCTTGGCTCAAGTCTCCAAATACAAATGAAAAATTCAAGTGTTTCCGCAACCGTTCACCGAGTTTTATTTTATGTAGCAGTCTGCGGTACGAATTAATTAAGTTTATGAAGTCTTAACGTTGTAAATGTGGTCTAGTAGTAACAACCTAAAGTATTTGCTTAAGTTTAATATTACAACTTTATACGAATGTTGGCAAAATAAAAAAGAAGTGTAAACACAGCATGTCCCTACATAATTAAATTGTATTAAGAATAGAACCTTGATTGTCAATTTGCAAGCGATCAGTTCCATTTAAATCGAAACCAGAAATAGAAACGCGGTCCCAAATTAAAAAAAACAACAACAACTCGTAATCGGGAAAAAACCCAGAACAAGCGATGTAAAAGACAGATGACAGAAATATCAGAATATTTCTCAAGGAAAAATACTTTATTGAAAAAGAATACCTACTTTTAAAAGATTAATTAGGTTTTACAACCGGCTGTAGATAACCTTTTGGCACGAGACATCTCCTGACCTTTCCGAGAAATGATAGAAATACATCGCAGCTCTTCATAAAGCCAAGCAGTAATTCTTTGATAACTAAATGTGCTAGTAAATTATTACAATTAATTGCAATTTAATTGTAAACACGATACGCGGTGCGTACACTGTCGTGCAACGATCCTGGGGGTGCTCGCGATAACCTACTGACTTCGGGGTCGGTCAATATTATGACATACTGTGCAGTGACGTCACGTAATGGCGTCGGGAAAGTGCGACGCGTTTGCAATGCACCTCTGACATTTAACACTGAGAATGCGCGGATGTGCTATAAAGATGATAAACTAATGACGGTGACAGATATTTATTATTGTAGAAATTGTTTATTTATTGATATATTCAATGCGTCGCCTTCTTGTGACGTCAGTTTTATAAAAGTCCCTGTTACAATAAGTTCAAAGGAGTTTTAAGAAGATTATAACAGGAGACAGAAAAGTGTCCATTCCTAATTTTTTTTAAACTAAACCCATCGTCGTGGGTGCGTTTACAAACATACAATTTCACATACACGTCACACCCAGACCCGGAACAACAATTCGTGGATCACATAAGGAGAATTTTCCTTCTGGTGAAAATAAAAGGAATCGTTACCGTAAAAGTATATTTTTGAACAAAGGGTTAATTCAACCGATGGCTGCCGATGGGGAAGCGAATAGAGCTTTCCGTTAAAGTCGATTAGAAAATTGGATGTTGCGGCGTTCGTTTGTTTCTGCGTTTGACAGCCCATTCACATAGCGATCTGCTATTTACT